ACTTCCTCTAGCATGGCTTCCTCCTATTCGTGTCTTTTGGCAGATTCTGCTATCCCTAGCATATGACTGCAGGTATCCTGCTCGAGGACTAGAGAAAGCATTGCAACAGCTTTTCGGCACGAAGCGCGGCATTTTAGATCAATCAGCAGCAACGGAGATGGGACAGTTTGTTGGCATGCCAGTAACAGCAACTGGCGATGCCAGTACATATATCGTTACCAACTATAACGGTGTTGGGAACAGTGATGAAAGGGCCGGTACGTTCGTTCCTAGTGTACGGCGCCGCGGATCGATCCGCGCTTGGCGCTGATCTCATCGCCTATAGGGTATCGGAATATTCAGCCGGCAGCCGGTATCAGCGGCGTTCCTCTTTGAAATTGTAACAAACAATGCCATCCTCTACCGCACGATGAATGCTAACATTTTGAGTAGTCTTCGAGGCACAGCCGCTCCCTTGTAAGTAGTTCCAGCGAAGCCATGTTCTGCTGCTGATTGGTCCAGCTATTTTTCGCCCCAGCTCATAGAAGGCTTTGGCAATGTCCAAGATGGAGGGTTGGCATACAACAACCCCACGTCTATGGCTTACGAAGAATCTAAAAGATTGTTCCTGATTCTCGGACCAGCATAGTGGTTTCCCTCTCGACTGGTTCTGCAAGGCCGAAGGAGTCACAACCATCTACTACGCGGCGCTCATTGCTCGACTTCGTTCTCAACAGGGGGCCTCAAGTCCTATCTCGCCGTTTGATGGAGGATTCCTGCTTCGCCAGACTCTTCCGAGCATTTGTGAAGCAAAGCGAGCTTCTTGGCCATCGAAATATGGATCATGAGGGAGAGCTATTTCGATTTAATCTTGAGTTCGAAGGTCGCGGGCCGAGATTGGACAACGTCACAGGGCTAGAGGAACTTGGACGAAGCGCGAAGGAATCTATCCGCAAGTCGCCAGAGCTAACGGGCATTCGTGCAGAGCTGTTTTTCTTTGAGCTAGACTATATGCCTCGGCTGCTGAACGGGTTCTACGAATGCGTGGGTCATCTGCATTGTCGCCTGCCCCCCGGAACGCCAGCATTCAACACCTTTCTGGATCAACTTGATCGCGCTTCAGCAACTTTCAAAATTGCGGGTGCGGTCCTCGCCGTCAGTTCTCAGGGCCGCGATCTAACTGACCGAGGAGCCTATTTCCGTCAAGAGATCAGGTTTCGGGTGTCTGGGCGGCGGGTTCCCTTTAAGATTATGTTGAGGGAGGGGCATGTGGGGGACAATCACATAAGCGGCTCCCCCTTTACTATTGACTGGCTCAACCAGGCGCAAAGGCTTGATGCCTGCTTTGGCTCGGCCGATCATCGTCCGAAAAGGAAACGAGATTGGGAAGCGGCGAGGGAAATGCCTAAGCGACAGAAAAGGGGAAAATGCGAGCGATAAGTGACTGGTACTTCGCCACTCTTCATGTAACCTTATTTTGCGGGAAAGTATACGTCTGAAAACGTGCTATATTCCTTAATCATCGTCACTGTCAACGTAATATAACCCTCTCAGTATCCTTCTTTCCATACCCTCAGCATTTCCGTGTCGGGAGGTTGCGATAAACCTTCGAAAACAAAGTCGATCCCGGGAGAAGATTGTCTGAATCGTACGGGGTTGCTATCATGTCGACGCCGTATGTAAGGGTGGTACAAGCCTACAAAGTGTTTACATGCAGGAGCGATTTAAAGAAGGGTTACAGATGCCTTATTGGGCGTCGAGAAATTCTGTGCGTCCACTTATCATTGCAAACACAGCTGAGCTCTTCATTGTCTTGATCACTCAGTGGTGCTACGGAGACTCTAGTGTGTGGCGTTTGAGCTCCTGCAACGCCGGCAGGGACTTATCCAGCTCCAAAGATATGTGGAGATGACGGTTTTGAGCGAAACTATCAAATCCGTTTGATCTTGAATCTGCATCTCAAGAGTTCGCTGGCTTGCCCTTAGTTGATGATTCTCCTCCTCCGCTATTTCTCTGCACCGACATTCTTCAGAGACCTTTTGACTGAGGACTTGAGTTTGAAGACAAAGCCTATTTTTCTCCTCTTGCAGTAGATCTATTGCCGTCTGAAAGCTAGGAGCTGAACTTGATGACTATACCAGTGTTACGTATGGGGAGACCGGGAGGGAAACGCAGCATACTGTAGCCTGGGACTCAGCTTCGAAGCCTTGGGCGGTCGAGAATATTGCTTCGAATGTGTGGCCGACTTCCTTGAGAGCAGGCGGTAGGTGCTTATAGAATGATCGCTCAAGTTCTTCAAGAATATTCGGGACAAATACGGCTTATCGGGAAGGATGCTCCAAGAATAGAAATCCTCTCTAGGGATAAGACGAACTTCTGAAGGCTCAGTTCTGATGCCCAACCTATCGACTGAAAAAGTGTTAGCGTTCTGTGAAAAGGGTTTCTTGGCGGGCTTACGAATATGTGCCGACAGTCTTTCTCGACACTGGTCCCTTTCCGCCTGCGCTCAGCGTTGCTATGGCGCACAGAACTCATGATCTTCTGCGCGGCACTGAACACCTGACACTAAAGCTTCAAGTCCAGCTGCACGAGACCAGGAGAATAGGTAGCAGGCCTCATAATGGCCGTTGAGGAGGTTGCAGCACAGGTTCTATAGCCGCTTTTTCCTACCGGGGAGCCAGATGTAGCTGCGGGTGTAGCTTAGCGGAGTAACACGCAAGAGTGATGACGCCTCCAGGCTTACGTGGTATTCCACGGAGGGAGGACGTCTGCAAAGCAGGGCAGTATGATTCGTGAGGAGAAGGTATACTTTCTACTTCGTTTCTTGCGATTTGACCCACTTAGACCAAAGAGATCTGTTGCCAACCGGCAATACCCTCCCGGTATATCCTCCAGAATTGGACGAGATGATGGCAAAAATGCATTCGATTGTAGCCAAGTAATATACTAGCCAAAATATCGACTTCTTTCATCTAAAGTCGCTGCTCTCTCGACTGTGAGGCTTCTCAACTGCCGCCCGCTTGCTAGTGCATTCAAGCCGATCGTTCTGCCTTGTAGTGGTTGAAAATCCATTTCCCTAATAGTAATTCGATGGGATGAAGCGCTTGCAACCTCTTTTACTTTGTCTCTCACCCGTCTACTAGAAGAGACAAGGACAAGCGTCGTGCTCCTAGTATGGTCCTCGGAGGCTGTGAAATAGCTTTTCATAGGATCATGAAAAGCATCAGGATCCGTCAATATTTTCTGAAAATCTGGAGCTCCTGGAAGAATGGCTACGCGGCCGACGTTTTCTGTCGAACGCCGGCCATCTTCGTGAACTAGAACCTTCATCCTCTGCGATATGGTTAGTTTTGCTCCCAGTCCTGTGATAACTACTTGCCTTTGCTGATAAGTCTTTGTCCAAGGCTTCGTTGAAGAGATCCAGTATGTGAGAAGGATCTGAAAGAATCAGTCTCGTTCGAACCGGAGTGATTCAAGCATACCTGAGGCTCGTTTCATCCAAACGACCCGTATCTGGCGAGTGCGGCTTGTTGCAAAGGCACGTGCCATTTCCTCGAGACAGGTAAACATAGATAAAACACCGAAACCTTCTGCAATCATAACCACTATGTTGAACTTCTCATAGTATCCGGGCCCCATGTGGCCCCGTAAAAGACTCGTCGCTCAGCGTATGCGCTCTCGTTCGCCACAAGACTATGCCAGAGCTTCTGGCTTAGGCCACGATGAGGCTCAACGAGCATCTCGAGATTTGAACGTTCCTCGCTCCACCAATATCGTGATACTGTATAAGGATGACTTGACCAAAACTGCACACTTGGGATCCAAACGTTGATGTATTGTCCTGCCGCAACTCTTAGCGGCTGTGAGACACGGACTACCATATAGATGGAGCCATCTAGTCGTTTCAGAAACGCACGCGGCGAGGGCATATGTAGATTGGTGTTCCGCCAGAGTATCCGAATATAATAGCCTATATTGATAGAGCAGATGGCTCCTCCGTAAACGTACAATGGCATACGTTCAAACCTAGCAACCGAAAAGGTGTGATCAACGATGCCGACTATAAGAATCAGAGCGACAGACTGGTGAAGTCGAAGATGGAGCTCGAAGGGAAGGGCGACTTTAAGCAGTGACGCGAAAGCAAGCAGAAGGAACGAAAATGCAGCCTAAAAAGTATCAGCACTTGTTCTTTCAGGCGAGAAGTGACCCGACGAGAGTTTAGGGTTCAGACAAGAAGCTTCTTAATATCTACCCAACTGTTGATGTCGAATTGCGTCCCTTTGCCCACCATTGTAACGCCGTGAAAAGGAACAGGCCAAATGAAACTGCACCTGAGACACGGTGAGCCTTTTTGTAACTGGCGAGTGACAAACCCAACATATCTGCGATGAATGAGTGGTGCAAAGAAAGATACAGCGGCATCAGGTTGACGACTGAGAGACGACCCGCTCTAGATGCAGCTTCACTCGGTGAAGCGAGTGATAATACTTGACCCCCCTTTGTGGTAGCCTCAAACGAAACCTTGCAAAAAACGCATAAACCATTGACAGCAACATATGTAGTGTTGAGCAAGGCTGAAGACAAGAGCCATGGGCCCAGCATGCGATGTCGTTTCACCATCACACTGTAAGCAACCTTGTTCGCGACAGTCGCGGAGAGACGTCTGATACGCTTTCCTGCCGGCCGGTTAGAAACGACGAGGAGCAATACAAGGATGAGTGAGATGCAAGCGGCATAGGCTTCTGGCAGGGTGGCAAACCACTCAATCAACTCAACCAAAGAGTCAAATTGAGTAGATTGACGGCTTACATCAGCGAACCTCTCGTTGAGTTGAGCAATCCAAGCCCTCGTTGAATTGATTGCGTTGATTGATGGAGTTGATGCCTACCCTACCTATTAGTAAGCTACTTAAGGTCCTCAACACCATCAACTTCTCGTCCTTCGTGGGGCACCTCTTCGGGAAGACATCGTCATCGACTGAAGCATCAATAATCCCTGGTAGTCGGGTATTAGCCCTGCCTTCAGCCAAGACCGAATTGCCTGGCCTGCATTGATCGTGTTAGCCTGAAGCCGGCTGCGTAGTCGTGTGACCATTAGCCCAGCAAATGAGAACGCCCTCTCGCACTCTGCTGACATTGGCGGTATAGATAGCATATCAAAGGCCATTCGAGCAAGTCTGGGATACGTTGACTCTTTGAGTTGCCAGTATTGGAACGGATCCGTGATGTCTCCGTCATCTGCGCCGATATCAACAGTCCAGCGATCGAATTCATCGGCAGTAGGTGGCCCACGACGGTTGTGGCCGTCTGACCAGCTTGTAGCCGGTGCCTCAGTCGGAACTGTTGGAACTCGTTCAAGTCGTCAACCTTTCGACGTTTAACCATCGGAATAGCCTCGTCATCGCTGAGAATTAATGACTTATAGTCGCGTTCCCAGATGCCCTGAACAATCCGTCGTGCCTCAAGGACCCATTCAGGTCGATGAGCCCAAGCCTCCTCAAACCATTGCAGTCGCAAGGCGGGATGGAGCGACTGCAGCATAATATACCGGGCACTCAACCAACTTGATATAGTATTTCTCCAACTTCTTCCACCCCAATTCGACGTTTATCGCGAAATGCTCGGAATCAGGCACATCCTTGGCGAATTCCTTTGCCTCTTCCAATCGTTCAAGGAGATATTCGAATGCTTGATAATATCCCATGCTGTTCCGTATGCCACGAGGTTGCCGCCCTTACGCACCCGAATCTGGGCATCTCCCTCGAGGGCCTTGATGGCATTTTCGAAGTGCTTAAGAATATTCCGAAAGTGGCTGATCACTGTCCAGTCGTTACCGGTCAGCAGGTCAGAATCTCGGAGGCATGCAGGCATGTCTTTCTTCTTTGACCTGCTTCGTATATTCGAACTGTTCCAATGCGACGAGGTCGTCAAGAAAGTCGTGCAGTAGAAGGGCTCGATCCATCATCTTATAATGGGACAACCATCGTGTCATGTTATCCGTTAGAACGTCAACTGGTTTCTTCGTACTGTCCCTCTTGCGTTGTAGATCCCGAAGCATGTACGTTAACCTATCCGATTGATGAATCCAGTGGACAAGGTTGTGGAGCTTGCCAATAGGCCCCCTCTTCCGCCAGAGATCATGTCGAGCAAGGTCCAGGTCGAGTCGCTCTTCTGATTTGAAGACTTCATTATCTTTGCCAAAGAGCAGCGCTTTGGCCACGAGATTGATGATATGCCCAAAGCAGCGGACCCGTCTCTGCTTCCCTTCAAAATTAAAAACGTGTCCCAGTGCTGCTACCGCCGTATCGTTATTCTTCGCATTGTCAAGCGTGAAATACCCGATCTTGTCTTGAATCTCGAATGATTCGATCACTTCCGCCACCTGCGACGCTATATTCTCGCCAGTATGAGACTCTCGGAGTTCAGGAGCCCAAGGATGATCTTCTGTGCCGCTTTTCCTTAGAGAGATAGAACGCAGCAATCCCATTAAGCGCATAGCGATTGGGCGATCTCCAGCCGTCAAACGCAAGGTGTATCTGCCCGGGCGCTCCTCAGTTCCTTTATCACAATATGCTTGTACTGGTGGTATTCTTGGAAAAGCTTCGTTCGAATAGTCGAGTGTGTCATGTGGGCTTGAGTCAGGGCGATCGAGGGATTGAGGTATTCGAGAAGACGCCGGAATCGAGGGGCTTCAACTGCGCGGAAGGCAACATTCGACTCGGTGATCCAAGCAAGCAAGAGAGATTGAAGACATCTTTATCGAATTGGTTTTTAGCTTGTTAATGAATGCTTGCTCCTTCTGGTCATTGGCATCGAGGTTGAAGAATTGGGCAATAGAACGCTTGTTGGTTGTAGAACCCTTCGGTAACCGTCTACCTGATGGGTCAATAACATTGTGAGCATCATGTAGATGGCGCTCAATGTTTAGGGTCCCTTTGCCGCGAAGCTCACGGGTCCCTTCGGCGATTTCTTCGGTAAACACCGCTCACAGACCCAGAGGCGATTATCTACGTTAGCTTGATGTTCAATGTCGAACCCAAAGCTCCAGATCCACGATTTGAGCTTGCCGGCGCGTTGAGACTTGGTATAGCCGCGGAAGTGATGCCAGGGAAGGCATCCCACTCGAGATGGGGAACGGGGCCTGAGTCGCCTGAATCGCCTGATGGCGGCAAGGGAGTAGAAGAAGGCTCAGGAGATTCGCTCATTGCATATAGGAATGTTTAGATCAGCCAAGGCGTTGTGGAAGAATCGAGAAGTGTAAGTGGAACTGAGGCGAGATTGAACTTTGTTGTGAAGCGCGTCGATGCGCGCAGCGCGTCGACTCTTCCAACGGAACAGGGGGCCCTGTTCCCCGAAGAGGAGAGCAGGCTTACCTACAACGGGCCTGAGTAACCTGTAAGGTTAGTGGTAGCTATATACCCAATCCGTACCTACATTTCGCCTTGGCCACCTACCCTACAGGATCCCTGACCGTCAACGGCAATCTCATCAATCCATCAATCAACGGAGCATGAATTGAATTGACAAGCTTATTCAGCAGACACTCGATTGAGTTGATTGAGTTGACGGTTGCTCAACTATATTGAGCAACCGTTGCTGGGATTGAGTGGTTTGCCACCCTGGCTTCTGGTAAGTCCATTTTCTACGTGGACGGGGCAGGTAAGCTGGGCAGAATGGAGAAGACATCTTTTAAATAAGCTTGAACTCGAAACGTCTCTGATTCGTGACCTCGGCCAGCTTGACCAGATCCAAAAGCAACTCGCAAGCGATGTCATTTTGAACCCACCAAGAAATGGATGCTTAATCACTTAGCCTGAGGTTTTGCTCTACCGGATGAGTGAAGACACGCACCTGGCAAAGCTCCGACGCAGTGCTAACCGAAGTTGTTGCAGCTACGAAGTCTGCCACTTTGTCGCGACTGAGCCAGCGCCGATCCTTAAGTCCCGGTCCCGGATCTTTTTGCAGAAACCAAAGCGTGACTGTTCTAAGATCTTCCATGTTCCTTGAGGCAACGTCTCTATTCAGTTTCTCAAATTTCTCAGGGCTCGCTAATTGATCTCGTTAGCCACAGGGCGCCGCCGTTAGAAAACGGGTTGAGGTTCATGGTACGAAGCGGACCTGCGCACCTAGCTTGACGACGCCATTCTGGTTGAGAAGAACGTTTTGGTAGCTCAGCTGCCCATGGCCGAATCCTTGACGCTCTAAATATGCCAGGCCATCTAGTGTCTGATGATGAAGTGTTACGCGACGGTTCGTCCGGAACGGGCGTACCTGACGAAGCAATGCAACGGCTTGCAGCTCACTCGGTGGGCTGGGCAGTTGACGAGTTGACGTAGCGAGATGGCCATTTCCTCAAACACGAGGTAGAAGCCACTAGGGGAATCGTTGAAGACTTCTAAGATGGACACGATATTTTTGTGATTGAAGTGGTAGTAAGCAAGAGGGCTGCCCGTATCGACCGATGGGAATGATCTAATGTTAACAACTCGGCGAGGTGACTTAGCGCTGATGGCAAGTGAGATATTCCTTCAAAATCAAGGATCTTGTAAATCTCTGTAACTATCCCATGGCTTCCCAGTTTTGGCGCCAGGGATATTTCTCCCAGTCGGAGCTTCCTTATCGGTCGAGCTCGGCTCATCTCCCTTCAGCAGCGAGCGCCTATTCCAGTATGGAGAAGGTTTTGGGGCCTTGGTCTTATCCCTCTCGCCTTCCGTCATAGAAGGCGATTGGGGGGTATCGTGATTTGAGAAAAGGTGAGTAGATCGGCCACGGCGGTTCGTATTCAAGTTCATGGCTGTTTCTAAGCTCGCACCACCTTGTTCGGGGTCGAGGGATAGCAAAGACTGTGTTAAAAAGTGTTCGCGTTGCAGCAAATTCTGGCTCCGTTTAGGCCCACTCGAGGCAAGATAAGTAAAAAAAAACGTAAAATCTGCTTATAGCCCAGATCTATGCGCTGTCCCACCACCCGAAACAGCATTCACCAAGGTGCTTCATCATGCCGCGAAATCGTCCCTCTCATCCAGGTAGACACGTCGATGAATGCCGCAAGCGAGACAACGAAGTTTATCGTCAAATCCGCTTTTACAGGCAGAAAAACGACGAAGAAGGAGTATCAGCTTGTCTCGAACAGCTCTCTTCTAACCACGCACGGAGGTGCGCAAAGAGGCTGCTGAATCAACCAGCTCTGGCCGATGCCTTGGACGAGTTGCTCGACGTAGAAGGACTCCGATCAGCCTTCCTACTCAAGACTATGCATAAAGTTATCGCTTTGCAGTGCAGAGAGGTATTTATCCGAGCTCCAGAGCCCAAAGCAGGCGTTGGCTGATGGGCAGCACAGGAAATTCTTAGCTATTTCGCCTGGATTAAACATTGCTTCTTCGAGACAATAACTCAAGGCGATATAGATGCCTTGCAATCCCTAGATGAGTTTACAGTCCGGGCGTTAGAGCAGAAGTGTCCACGATACGGCGCGGAAGACAGGAAGGAGATTGAAAATCTGCTCACATCGGGCAAAATCTTCGCCACTAAGACTCCAGATTGGCGTCAGGAGTTGTTGTTAAGACTCTGCAACATGGAGCTCTTAATCCCTTCCTTGTTTACCTTCCATAACGATGTGAAGGTGCTCGAGTATTGCGCGCATTGTATGCGCCACTTGATCGACGTACCTAGAAAAAATGGGTCGATCACCACAGAGCTAAGAGCTTCGTTCAAGCGAGATTTAACACAGTTCAAGGACGCTCGTGTTAATATGTGGCTGTACGCGAGGAAAAGACACCTTGAAATGCCTCTTGCACCCCGAAGGAATGATAAGGAGCTGCTTGCGAAAATTCGACCGCGGGTAGCAAAACGGGAAGACCTTATTCATTTTGCCAATTATGCCGCAGAACTAGGGTTCTGGTCTGCTAAGATTCGGCACTGGACTGCCGGTCAAGCTTCGCATGTCGTGCAAGAGTTGAGCTCCGATCGCTTAGAAGAATCTGTTAAGCGGCCATTGCACCGATGTGGATTTCCAGACACAGCTTCCTTTAAGTTCGACAAAGCTCACCTCAACTTGGAGAGACTTAATAAGGCAGGACCAGAACTGGACACTTTTCACGTTCTGAGATCGGTGTTATATGCGTTCTTCATCCATACAGGTGCTACCCCAGAGGCTTTGTCTATTTGTGAGACTCAGGTCGCCGTCTCATCGCCTCACCAGAGGGGGGAGAGCCGCGTCAAGGGGGAAAAAGCCGCCAAGAAGAGTCCCAAGATTGCAGTCGTATGCGGACAGAGATGGTGGAGTTCCATCAGCTTATGGATGATGGTACGTGGAAAGCGGATCCGGTTGGATGCTTTCTCGTGGAGGAGGAGGCTACGAAAAGGGTGACAGCCGGCTATACCTTAATGGGGTGCGATACATCCTCCGGGCAGCCAAGAGTGGAGTTCATCACGCCCACATCATGCCTCGAGAGCGCGCTTCGCTCAGGGATTGGTGTCATTTTTGTAAAGCCCATGACTAGCTCGGGCATCACTGACGACCTTGTTTCCTATTGCGAAAGCCT